GGTATTACATCAATATACACCAATGTTTCGAAAATCAGGCTGATTAACGAAAAGGAATTATGCATTTCATTGACTGAGAAGAATTAAACATTGTCCTTTATTAATTCACATAGGCACAGACAACAGGCTTGGAGGAGTCAAATCTGAGCTGATATTAGCACAACAACAACCAATTATTCTTTTCTTAAATGACCTTCTATCCAATTATCAAGAACTACATTATCATCAGTACGGCTTCCAATACATTCAGAGACCTCCTCGTGACTTATTTGGCTAGAACACTTAATATCAGTGCATGAAGTGAAGAAAACTTACATCACTAAGGGTCTATTTGTTATCTCCGTAGTGTATCATCAGTCAAAGAATTGCTAGATCCGTGGCTGACAGCAGTTGGATCATCAGCCTTCTTACACACATATATAAAATGGGAGTCGGGATCTTCCAAAGTATAATCTGCCGGGAGTAGACCTTTCTCTGTCATAGGAACGGGTTCCAAGTATGACTTCAGAGAAGTAGAACCAGCTGGCTTTTGATTTCCAGGTCTAGCTGCAAAATGGGAAGGAAAAGTAATAATTTTTATAACATCTTCTCATTTTACAATTAAATACAGTAACTTAGTAAAATGATTTTCCTAGCTCATCACAGAGAGAAACAGCATAGCACTACATTACTTCTGGTGCATAAAGCCATAGACACACAATTGACATTTTGTTAAATCAAGAATCTCAGAAATTTGAATATTACAAGCCAAGAGATCCTGGAAGAAGCAGAGGTGTTTGATCGTGTAGAGTAATAAGTTTGGTTTCTAGCTGAGAAGGCAGAAAAAGAATTCCATGATCTGCTGATTAAAAGAACAAGTTCAGGAAACTTAACCTCTATTTTTAGTAGGACGTGATGGAGGGCAACTAATGCAATTTAATAAAAGCATGAGGACCAGCAGCCATAACTCTCAGACCGTGTCCTGAAGTTAAGGCATGGCACAAGAGAAACAAAAGATTGACAAATAATTATGACCACAGCCAAATCAAAATTACATATGAACCTTCTAAAGACGAAACTGTCAGCATAATGAATCAACTTATTTTGGGTGGGAGCCTTTAGTTTTTGATTGGCGCATGGGTGTGTTGAGAGAGCACAGCACAATGCCCTGTCATGGTCACGAGTCTTATTCATGATTCTAGTCGTAGTCAACAAGTTTGAAACTTCGAATAGGAGGGCAATCCTCATAGTGACTTGACTTTAAGTTTATAGAGGTGAATGAGTAGAGTATAGAGGAGCACTTAAGAAAACCATGTAGAAAGAACTCAGCTCTCTGGTCAAAGTACGGTAGAAAACATACCACATAAGAACCATGCCCTGGTAAAAGGGTAACACTCATTACTTCCAGGAAAAGGGCACCAATTAATCATGTTAGTGAATCCTTTCTTTCATAAGATCAGTCCACAAAAGGGAACTTGCCTTGAGCAAGGTCCAGCAAGACTTACAATTTCAGACTCGCCACTGAAAATACTCTAGCCACAGAGAATCAGCTAAGGTTGAAGGATCCCACTAAATTTAGCATGAAACAATTATTGGAAAGAAGATAAGCTAAAAGTAGCCCAATCACTTAACTTCAGACTAAGATTTTATTTTGCGCTAGCAGGATGCCCTCATATAATATGCTGCCAAAATATAAAGATCTAAAGCCAGATTCAAGAATTCTAAAGTAGAAAAGTAGAGCAAGATTGTCTGAACGTCACTCCATTCAGTTTGAGATGGTGGACTTCATTTCAGATTCTATCAAAAAGTCAAACTGGAATAAAAAAGGAGCAGTTCCATTTCCCCTTCTACCAAAAACATCCCGAGATGGATCAAAGGATGGGTAAAAGATGGACAGAAGTTGCAGAATTTTGAGATTAAGGGGACAACCAGGGTAGACGAACTAAGCATAGGATAGCAGCTGTTATAAACATTGGTGGGTTATTATTTTTTGTCCAGTGATTCATCAGTCAGAATAGTATTCTAGGAAGCAAATGAACTACAAAGAAGAAGGAAGAGTGAAAGTATAAGGAAAAAGATAAAGAGAGGAGAATATCATCTTTACTGGGGTTAGGAACCACACTCAATATAATTTCCAATTCGCAAAGTTACAAGACACCTAATCATAGACAACTGGATATAAATTACAGGAAATTACACAATAATGAATTAGACTAATTTTCAGAAGAACCCTTCGTTGAATGACACATGGCATGAGCTTCTTTGGACAAATCAACCATTTATGCTCTCCTCATTTTAAGTTCTTCATTGGTGGAACAAAAAGGTCCGAAATTTTTGTTTCAGTAGACTTTGTTTCTTATTTGTCCAATCAAATTGAAAATATCCCTCAATTCTACTTCAATATCTTAGTTTCTCTCTTTCATAACATTAGCATAAATCTTTCCTATATCGTTCATAATCATTCTTTCTCGAATCTCGCTGTAAAATCTTCCATAATCATAAAGTTACTCCAATAGTTTCAAAAATAATCTACGGTCTTGAACAACATCAATAACTCTCTTAATATTGCCTTCATCTAAATCTTAAAAAACTGAGAGAATAATTTGTAAATGATTCTTTTCTATCGAATTGAATAATTTCTGAATTAAATGGATTCCTAGTTATAGGAATTACATGAAATAAAAATTAGGGAAATAATGCCTAAACAAGGAAAATAACAAATAATTAGTTTACCTAATAAGGATACATTCCAAATTTACAATGATTGACAAATTACCTCCTAATTTACAGCTATTCAATCTTGGTAATTATTATCAAATATCTTCTTGATTTTCAACACTTCCCCTCAAGCTGACTTGAAGATATCTTCCGTAGTTAGCTTGCCCAAAAAAATGTCAAATTGCTTCTTGTGCAATCCCTTAGTGAATACATCACCAATCTATTTAATAGTTGGGATGTATTCCATACAAATCAGCCCACTGTCAAGTTTTTCCTTGATAACGTGTTTATCCACTTCTACATGTTTTGTTTTGTCATGAAGAACTGGATTATGGGCGATTGAAACCTTGTTGTTGCAGTACAATTTCATTGGTAGAGAATCTAAAGTCTTCAACTCTTCTAACAATCTCTTGATCCACATAAGTTCACAAATGCCATGGATCACTGCTCTAAATTCTGCCTCTGCGCTACTTCTAGCAACTACATTTTTTTTTTTACTTCGCCAAGTAACAAATTTTCCTCCAACAAAGGAAGGGTATCCGAATGTTGATCTCCTATCTGTTATATTCCCAGCCCAATCAACATCTGTGTAGGCTTTAATTTGTAGATGTCCACAGCTTTTAAAAAGTAGACCTTTTCCTGGAGTCCCCTTCAAATATCTTAGAATTCTATAAATTGCTTCAAAATGCTCCGGTAGGCAAATGCATGAATTGACTAATCATACTTACCGAGAATGCTATATCCGGTCGTGTATGAGATAGATAGACTAACCTTCCAACAAGTCGTCAATATTTTCCCTTGTTCACTACAATTCCTGTCATAGCAGGTTGTAATTTTGTGTTGGGTTCCATTGGTGTTTCAGTTTTCAGCCAAGCATGCATGTTTCTTCAAGCCAGTACATACTTGCATTGATTAACAAATATACCTTCCTTCGACCTAGCAAACTCCATTCGGAGGAAATACTTAAATGCACCCAAGTCTTTGATCTTGAATTCATCAACAAGCCTTTCCTTTAGTCTTTTTAGTTCAACACTATCATCTCCTGTCAAGATAATATCATCCACATAAACAATCAAAATAGCAATTTTACCTTCCCTCGAGTGTTTGTAAAACATGGTATGATCTGCTTGACTTTGACAATATCCATGGCGTTTTATTGCTTTGTCAAAGCATTCAAACCAAGCCCTTGGATATTGTTTAAGGCCGTATAGTGACTTTCTTAATTTGCAGACTTTATTTACACCAAGTCTTTCTTCAAATCTCGGTGGCAAACTCATAAAAACTTCCTCTTCTAAGTCTCCATTAGGGAAAACATTTTTTTATATCCAGTTGGTGTAAGGGCCAATTGGAATTCACGGGAAGGGACAATAATACTCGAATTGAGTTTATTTTAGCCACAGGGTGAACGTCTCTTGATAATCGATTCCATAGGTTTGTGTAAAACCTTTTGCAACAAGCCTTGTCTTGTATCTCTCTATACTACCATCAGCCCTATATTTCAATGTAAAACCCCATTTGCACCCTACAGTTTTCTTGTCTCTTGGCAAGTCAACTATCTCCCACATGCCATTCTTTCTAAAAGCGTTCATCTCCTTACGGATTGCCAATTTCCAATTTGTATCATCTAGTGCTCCCTGGATATTTCTTGGCACAACAATTTGAGAAATTTTCGATGTAAATGCTCTATGATTATTAAAGAGTTTTTGGTAGGAAATATATTTAGCAATAGGATATTAAGTGCATGTTCAAGTTCCTTTTCTTATGGCAATTGGAACATAAAGATCTAAGGTTGTATTCTCCATAGTTACTATAGGATGTGAATCTGAAATAGGAGCAGAAGATAAAACAAGGACAGAATTTAACAAGACGGGAATGGGAGAAGAGTTACCTAATGTATTCAAGGAGCCATTGTCCAGGGACTCTCATTAACTCAATGGGATGATAGGAATGTCTCCATTTCTTTCAGGAATCTTCTTTCTAGTATAAACTAGAAGCTGGGAATTCGGATTAAATTTATCCTTTAGCAGTATTTCCTTCTCTGTTGGTAACAAACATGATTTGTCAATGTCAACATCTTGAATGTTGTTTTCTTTTTCCTGAAAAGAATTATTGATTTGTGGAGAAGAAAATTCAACTACTGTATTTGGTAAAGGTGCAGATTTTTCCCAAAAATTATCTTCTTTTTCACCTATGTTCACCCATTGAAGAAAATTTTTGGGAAAAAATGGAGTATTTTCCGAAAAAGTGACATCCATATTAATATGGATTTATTTATTATTATTTTTTTGGGTTAAAACATTTATAACTTTTTTGGTTAGAGGCATACCTAAAAAGACATTTTTCAGCTCTCGGATCTAATTTAGACCGAAATTTGTTTGGTATGTGAACAAAAACTGTGCAACCAAAAGTCTTTAAAGGTAATGCTGAATTAATCCTAGAGTTTGGAAATTCCTTTTTCAAGCAATCTAATGGAGTGGCATACTATAGAACTCGTGTAGGCATTTGATTGATCAAATAAGATACCGTCAGAATAGCATCTTCCCATAAATACTTGGGAATATTCATATAAAACATTATTGCATGGGCTACTTCAAGTAAATGTTTATTTTTTCTCTCGGCTATTCCATCTTGTTGAGGGGCATCACGACATGAAGATTGATGAGAAATACCTTTTTCTTGTAAAAATGATTTCAACACTTTATTAAAATACTCCTTTCCATTGTCAAATCGAAGTATACTAATTTTTGTTTGAGATTAATTTTCAATCATATTGTAAAAGACATTGAATTTTTTTCAACTACAGACTTATCATGCCTTAGATAAATCCAGCAAAGACGAGTATGGTCACC